AGGAAATTGAAAAACTAAGTCAGTATTGATGGTAACTGAAGTGGTAACTGACTCCTTGATTTTTGTTGAGAGGCAAGTATTATAAACTTCATTTTCCAGGAACTTCCTGCAATGTGTGAATTACCAAGGTACCATACAGTTCAGGAAGAGATGTTCTTACTGAGAGCAGAAAGCTTTAAGGCAGAGGAAAAACGTTCCATGGACGAGAGAGCAACAACTTAACATTCTGTGTGGGATTTGATCTCATGACAAAGACAATTGCTATTGCTCTGGGACATGGAATCTGCTGAAATATTACCAGACCCAGAGAAACAACCTAGACAGTGGGACAGGAAAGGACATAGCAGATACTCAGGTCTACGACTTTTCATAGAAAATGAGCAGTCTGATAGCACAAAACTGTATTTACAATTCATTTTTTTAATAGTTTGAAAATTCCACTTTGGCTCAACTGTAGAGATTAAATAATTTGAAGAAAAACCATCTATTAATGTTAGAAATAGATATAAATATAGAGAGAGCAGAAACTAACGTACAATATGGTTAGGGTTAGGGCTGAGATGGGGTGAGGCAAGAGAGGCGCCTAGAGTGCAAAATTCAAGGAGCTACTTACAAAACCCTGAGAGAGAGGGTCTCCTTAAATTTTGCTCCCTAGGTGCCTCTCCCGCCTTTCTCTAGTCCTGATCCTAGGTTGAGCTATTATTATTTATTCACTTATGTGTACTTTATTGTGAAAAGGCAAAAGGAGGGCTTTGGTATGCACACAAAAATTGAGATATTTAGAGTTCCTACCCTATGAGTTTTTGTGAGGATCACATGGGATAATTCACCTAAAGAGCTCAGCACAGTGTCTGGCACAGTAAATACTAGATAAATGTGAGCTTTTTCGAAAAAGAAGGTGATGGACTAGGTGACCTCTAACATTGCCTCCCACCTCTAAAGATCTGCATTCTCAGTTAGACGTCCCAGTGAAAATGTAATTACTGATAGCTGCCTTGAAGAAAGGTGGCACCAACGTTTAGCAGTGTGACTCTGTGGGGGTGGGATCATTATAGAATAGAGAGAAAACATGTTCTCAGTCTTTAGGGGCTCACAGTCAGGCTGAAAAAAGGCAGGTGAATAAGTAAAACATATTCTCATACATATGTAACGACACTATCTATATCCAAATACACTTTCCATGGGGAATGGCATGCTGTTGAGATGGAACTCTTTGGAAAGCTGCTTTTCCTTTCAATCAGTCAGGGGAGATTTTGAGAAGGAGGCCAGCTTTGAGTGTTCTCTGAAGCACTTACTAGGAGAGGGCCATTGTGTAGCCTGAGGGGGGCTGGGAGGCTGTTTGAAGGCTGGGAGGCAGGAAGGGTGGAGTCTTAGGGTTAGAGCTGAATCAGTGAAGAACTGAGAAGGTAAAGATAGACATATTAAAAAGTGAAATCATGGGATAAAGAAACACAATTTAGCATGAGGATACCAATAGAGGTATTGGATGATCTTGATGGACAGGTCTTAAAACTTCATAGGGAGGCGATGAGATGCTTACAGATTGTTAATGTAACTGCTCATTTGCCCATCTCATTTATCAAGATGAGCCTCTTGCATAACTGATATCTATTAGCTGTTATCTAAGAGCCACATACAGAAGGATAGATCTGCTGAAATCCTGGTGATTTGGCCCAGATTGGTGGAGATTATACTTCTGTCAAGAGATTTGTTAGAATTTCTTGTTATTACTTAATTGGTCAACAAGTTAAACAAGGTCCATATGCTGCTCAAAAGTAGAATGACATCTTTATATAACATAAATTAAATATTATTTCTGATATTTGAGGAAAACATAAGAAAAACATATATATTTCCTGGTGGCTTTGGCACTGAAGTAAAGACATACCCAGTGTGGATGCTTAAATATTTCTGCCATGGAGCACGGCACAGTGCAAATTATACAGCAGATGCTCAATAAGTACTTTTTGAATGAATCAATAAATAAATGTGAATTGTCTTTGGATTGCATGGAAGTAATTGTGCAGTGTTTCTAAGTTGTATGCTATTTTGTATATTTATTCTAAGGATGTTGTTGCAGAAATAAATATACATGAAGCGCACATTATAGAATTATAGAAGTAAAATATTAATTAATACAGATGCAATTATTTTGACAGGTTTTATTTTGAGGCAAAAGGGGTGTGTGTGTGTGTGATATATCCTTAAAATTAAATAGAAGTCAATACAAAAGTCTGAGTCACCAAATTCACAAGAATCGAATGTTTTAAGAACTGTGAACTATCTTGTGAGGTGTGCAGATGATATGCTTTGAGATTCAAAAAGAACTTGCTCGAAGTTCATCTTCACCTTATTTGGGTTGTGGAGGCAACCTAAAGGTCCAAGCACAGGCAACACAGCACTCCTTCATGGAATACGATACAGCTGTGAAAGTCTCATTGTAGCTGGAGCATATTCCATCACAGGAAAAGGTGTTTAACAAGACATTAAGAGAAAAAACACAACTCAAAAATCAGTGTGCGACAGATTAACCCATTCAAACACGCACAGAAGAAGCCTGGAATAATAAGATCTAAAATCAGTAAGAAGGATCATTTTTGAGAGAGGGAATCCTTGATTTTTTTTTCCTTCATGCTTGTGTCTATTTTTGAATGTTTTTTACAATGGATCCAGATTTTTAAAAATGCTATTAAATTATTTCTTAAAATAAAGAAGAGACCCAAAAGGGCCTGTTAAAATCGGAGACACTACCCTCTCTGTTTCCATGTTGAACTCAGTGTCCACCTCCAGCTGCCTCTGACCTTGCAATTACCTATGCCAATGATTCTCTCTCTTGCTTATGCATGGATTTAAGGTCTCCTGCTATTTTTTATACAGCAATATCCTACCCAGCCCTGAATTTTACTTCATAAACTAGATTTACGAACTAGATACCACACCTGCTTTCTGGTACCTGAGCATATTTTTAGGTATCATGAATATTAATGGGTATAGTTCATCATGGCCCCACTCTGCCCCACAGCCTTCAACAGGACAAGGGCAATTTCTGGAATGATAAGGTCACATGGTCTGTGAGGACAGTACCTTTGTTGAAGGATGGGATAAAAGACAGAAAGGTTGGAGAGAAGGCTGTTATAAGGGACCATTTCCGAACTGACCAGGGCCATAAAAAGGTCAAATTAGGCTAGTTAGCATTTTAAAGAAAATTATTTGATTTGTGTGCTTAATACAGTGTAAGTACCACTGTCAACACATATAGTGTCTTAACATCATGAGCTTATTAAAATAGTAAATCTGTGGAGAACATTCAAATCTTCACATAATTATGCTTGAACCTACTGTACAAGTGAAAATAGGTGACAGTAATAACATCATACAACACTGGAGACGATTTCTCAGCCTGTAGGTACAAAAAATGTTACCGATTGCCTGAGCTTTGTGCCAGCTCCTTTTTATCTGTCTGCTTGCTGTTTTTCATTCAAATTATAACACCTTTTCCTGCAAGATAAATTAACAGGTTTTTTTTTTTCCTAGTTTTAAGTTTAGATGCTTCAAAAAGCTTAACATAAAGTAGAGTCATTAGGCTTTGGTAAGAGGCCAAATTTAGGCAAAGCAGATACAAAAATACCTCACGTAAAATAAAAATTCAAATATGGGATGCATGCATGGAGCTGCCTGATTGCCATATTTATGAGGGCCTGCAGGTTTGTTTTAATTTCTTCCTGCATTCATGAATCCTTGTTTTTATTTTTTTGTGGCCCTTTCTCTTACTGTGGGGGGTTTGTAGTTGGCTTTCATTTCCCCTTCCTGGTCCTTTTTTAACAAGGAAATTAATCTTTTCTTCTTATCACTCATTAGAAGATCTTTTTTGAAAGGTCAAAAGTATCCCGTACTCTTGAGTAATCATTAACTTATCTAAAGCAGAATTATGTCTTCTTGACTTTGAAGAGGTATGAGTGAGCATCTTGGTGTGGAGGCACAGAGTACAGAACATGAAGGAGAAAGGTGGTGAATAATGACAATGTGGACCCCAAAGCTTCTCATTTCGGAGGCATAAAGGCCCACACAGCCATGACTTTCAAACAGGCATTGTCCTTAAAATGTATCCAGGTTGGAGGGGCATTTAGGGGGCAAATGTCATCCTAGGTGGAGGACATTTCAGTACTTTTCCTGACATCTTGGTTGGATAGGCTGTTATGTCCCCAAGGTTCTAAGAGCTCCATCTGCAAATGAACACCTGTTATTAAATATCACTATGTGCAATCACTTAGGATGTGTACATACAAGCAAGATGCACAGTACTGTGTTCAAAGCGTTTCTAATCCAGATGCATTAATACCATACCATTACATAAGTCTTTACAGACTTATTCGTTCGCTCCTCACAATAATTCTAAAATGTAGGTAAAGCAGATATAATGATTTTCAAGTTACAGATGATAAAACTGAGTGTCATAAAGGGTAAAGATCATGCAATCTGTAAGTGGCAGAGCTGGGACCTGATGTCAAATCACCTGATTTTGATCCAGCCAGCTTAGCAGTTCTTACCTGGGATGGGGTAGGAATTAGAACTACTGAGGCAAATTTTTTTTTAAGCCGCTCTGTCCTTTGCTAATTGCAAATTAAGTGGCTCATCTGGGTTTTTTTTTACTGAGGAAGATTCATCCACTGCCAATCTTCCTCTTTTTGTATGTGAGCTGCCACCACAGCAAGGCCACTGACAGATGAGTGGTATAGGTCTGCGCCCAGGAACTGAACTTGGGCCGCCGAAGCAGAGTGTACTGAACCTGACCACTAGGCCATGGGGGCTGGCGTCTGAGGGAACATTTTAAAATGCTCACTGCTGCTGCCTTCACATGTTCTGGCATGTGCTTGTAGGGTTTAGATAACTACCTGCTCCTCTCCATGTATTAGACTATGGAAGAAGGCCAAGCAAGGTGGGTGGGATGGCAGTTTCATAAATATAAACATTTAAAAATATATATGTGCATTTATTCTCAGATGTTTTTGATATTCCTGCTCTACACAACTGATCCTACCAAGGAAGAAGCACTGAGGTAAACATTTGCACGAGAAAAGATAACAATATAAGCCAGGGTACAATAAATGCCTCTTGGGTAACAGAATTAAGAATGCTATGAATTCAGGGACTAGAGATATTTCTAACTCAGGTGGTCAGGAAAGTCTTTTGGAACAAGCTGGGCCCTAATGATGGCTAAGAGGAAGGAGCGATTTGGGGAGTTCCCTAGACTAATTATTGAGAGAAGCTCAACCATATTTTTCTTCTGAGTGCAAGCACTTGCTAGCTGTTTGACCTTAGACAAGTTGGAGAATCTCCCTGAGGTTCAGTCTTCTCATCTATAAAATGGGGGTAATACCCACCTCGCTGGGATGTTGTGGGGACTAAATGAGAAAAGAGATGTAGGTGCCTGGTACAGTGCCTGCTACAAAGCAGCCCTCGACACAGAGGCATTCCCTTCCCCTTCTCCATGTTCTAAACAACTCAATTTTCCTAATTCTCGGAAAATTTTATACCCTTTCCCACCCTACCAAGGATGTCCCTGTCTCTTCATCTGTCTGTCTTTTAAGGCCTCTTTTAGGAGTTTCATCCTCTAAGACATCTCCATGGTTCTCTCTCTGAGATGTGATTTTGTCCATTCTGCATTCTCCAAGGAGGCCCCACTTCTCCTGCTCTTCCCTTCATTCCACATTGTCTAGGGCTGCATTCCATCTGGTCTGCCTCCCATTGGAAGGCTTGTCTTTATATGGCTGCAATACCTAGCACAGGACCTTATTGTATGAGCTTCTGAACAAATTTTGGGCAAACTGAAGGCAAGACTCTTGATGTTTCCTTCAAGTCTGGTATGATCAGGCCTGGACCCTAAATCAGTTCCCTTGAGTGGGGGACTTGCTTCAATCACTTGAGGTTTTTCTCTAATCTGTAACAGTTACACTAATCCGATTTAAAACTGACTGAACGCTTTTATTATAGCCTGCCAGAGGTATGCATTAAAATTTAACACTGTTTCCTCTTTGAACAGAAAGAAAGTACTTATGGTGTGATTATATAGGATTAGAATTTTTCATTAAAAAGGGTTTTAAACACTTCGGCAAGTAAAAGGCAGAATCCTATTTAATGAGTTTTTAAAGGTAGTGAAAGTAAGCAAAGTTTAACAGAACTGTTTTTCCTCCCCTGACATAAAGCCCCCCTTTCACTGTGATGTACCATGCACAAATCATGGCCTCATGACTTACAAAGGATTGCCATCTGCACAGAGCTACAGAAGACAAAGCCTGTTGTGAAATGAAGGAGAGATTATACAGAAATCTAAGAGCAGATCAGAATGCTTCACAGCCTCGAGTTTGGAGAATATCTGAATTATAACTAGAGTGATTTTATAGACTCCACACTTTGAACTGAGGGAGGTACTTTATGGTCTGGGATCATCTTAAGAGGCTTACAGCCTGGATTCCTGAAGAAAGTTAAAGGTCTGGGAACTTGAGGGTGGTTATTGAGGTCTGGAGTCGTCCGTCCCAGTCTGTGTGGCTCATAGCGGTGGATGGGTGCCTGGGGCTTCCCTGTGGGGCATGGTTCTTACGGAGGCTGGCAGATGTGGTGCCATTTAATACCGCCCCATCGCCATGTGCAAACGCAGAAGCCACAGAATATAAAGCCTGGGCCTCTGGAAACAGGAAATCTAGCCAAAATATTTAACCAAGTAATTTTATCACTGCCTTTGAAATGGCCATGGTATGCATTTTAGTTGGGTTCAGGAGCACATGTATCTCAAATAGAGGACTCGGGTTGAAATAAATCTACCTCAGATCTGTTTACCAAGCAAGATCTAAAGATTCAACTTTCTAAGCACTTCTGAAATAGGAGTTGTTGGAATTGGAGCAAGGCAGCTCAGTGGCAACAGTTTAAGTTTTCTCTGACGTGAACTTTGAGAGGAACAGAGTGGCTATTGGAAATGTTGTGTGTACACTCTCATTTATGGCTAATTAGAAGTATTTTTGTGACTGGATATGGGGAAATGTGTCATGGGTGTCAGCAGACTGCATTACACAATTAATAAGAATTGGCACTAAAGCCACATGTATCATACTTGGAAGCAAACTTTGAGGAAGACACAGTTTCAGAATTGTTGTGTATACATTCTCATTTATAACTAATTAAAAGTATTTTTTATCTGGTATCTAGGAAATGTGACATGAATGTCAGCAAAATGTACCATACTAACAGTTGCATCTCAATTAAGAAAAAAATAGATCACCAACATGAACCTGCGTGCTTCTGGAAGAACAGGGATGCTCAGGAAGCTGGGAAGAGAATCCTTCAGGTCAGGCCTGACACCGGGGAGGAGGGGGAGGTTTGCCAGGGCCACCTTGTCCCACCAGCATCCAAGTGGAACCTTTGGGGCATTTTGTTTCTTTCCTTTTCCTTCTTTCCTTTCTTTCATTGTCCTTGTGCTCCTCCTCCTTGTTCTCTCTCTCTTCCTCCTTCCCTTCTTCCCCCCCTTCTTCTCTCTCTCCCTCCTTTCTTCCCTCCTCTCTTCTTTTTTATCTTTCTTCCCGGAATGGGAAGCTGCCTCACCTGCAGGAGTAGAATGGCTGTGTCACCCAGGCCACGACAACAACGAGTAGTATCTTTTCTCCCTGCCTAACTAAAGGCAGTAGCATCTAAGCCCTTCAACTACTTTTCTTTTTACAATCAATTATAAAGAAATAGTAATAGCTAACCTTTATATTTACTATGTGCCAGGCACTATTCTGAACCTTTATCTATATTTCCCATTTAATTTCCTTAAGATCCCAGTGAAGTAGGTACTATATAATTATTACCTCCATTTTACAGATGGGGAAACGGAAGCCCAAAGAACTGAAAGAACCTGCCCAAGATCACACAACCGTAAGTGACAAAGCCAAGATTTGAAGGTAGTTGTCCGGCTCCACTGTCCGTACTCTTAACCACTATACCAAACTGCCTCTTCATTCTTTGTTTTGCTTTGATATTTTTTGTTTTCATGTTTTTCTGATTACATAATTAATCTAGTCTTACTGTAAAACTTAAAACAAGAAAAGTGTGAGGAAGAAAGTACAAGCCCACCTGCAGCCCCACATCCAGGGATGATGAGCATCAGCACGTTGGTGATGATCCTCCTTTCATCTGTCACAGGCATTGACTCATGTTCGTATGATTTTACCTGAATGGAATAATATCCTGTCATACATGATTTATTTTTTAAATAAGGACCTCTTTTGCTTTGTTTTACTAACCTCCTCCTTTCCATTCCCATGCCCCCAAACACATTTAACAAACTAGTACATATCCTTTTTTTAAGTTTACATATATAAAATTTTAAAATAAATGCTTATATATACACACACATTTACAAATAAGTGTATTTATATACAGATACGGGGCTTTTTTGGGAAGCTATTTTTTGTTTTACAAAATGGGATCATATTATGCACACTGCTCTGCATCTTGCTTTTCTCATTGAACAATATCTTAGAAGTTTCTGACGTCACCTGGATTGATTTACCTCACTATTTGTAATGGTCGCACACTATTTCATTGTGTGGTTAATTTTATAACTCCTCTAACAACAAAATTCTGCCCAGTTAATATTTTCTTTCTACAGATGTTTTAGCCTGGTTTTCCCTCTAAAGCAAAGTCCGAGACAAGGGCTTGCGTGCATGCAATTCATTAGGGAAGGGAGCCCGGGGTCTGGGACGAGAGACTGGGAAAGCGAAACGCACAAGGCAGGACAGCCAGTGCCAAGGGGCTTCCTTGAGCGGGCGCCTGCTGTGGGCCGCCGGGTGCGCCCTCTCTGAGACGCCTTACTCAGCGAGACTTAGAACTCTTGAGCGTCTGCGGTCGGGCCCCTACGACACGCGGTCAGCAATTACGCCTCAAGGAAAACGGCCTGTCGTGCTGCGCATGCGCCGCTGCAGAGCAGCCTGGGTAGACCGGAAGCCAGTGCCGGCAGGCGTACTTCCGGTTCGTTTGTGCTGGGCTGGTCGCCAAAGCAGTGGCTGCAGTGAACGTTGGACTGAGAGGAAAGGAAGCTGCTTCCGATCCGGAAAGTCGCACGCGCTTTCCTCTGGCTTTCCCTATCCTGGAGATCCACGGGTTTCATGCAAGGGACAAACTCTTACCCTTTGGTCTGACAGCAACAATGATAAGAACGTACCCCGTTTTCGGCACCAACTTTGTATGGGGTGCTCTACACCGCACATGTGCGTCTTCACAACAGTCACCAGAGGCAGGTGTTTTCCGGAGAGGGCAGGGGAGGCCAGAGGATTATGAGGGAGAGGCCGTTTGTACCGTGTTCTCCTGGTATTCCCAATGGTTCGTGCAATGCGTGCTGCTTAAAGGATGGTCAGTCCAGCCAGACCTTTAAAGGAGTGCTGTTGAAGCCACTTGCGCTAACTCGCACACCCAATGCCTGGGACATCTGGCAATTCAACCCGGGACTTTCTGCCTCCAAAACATATGTGTCTTCTAATAAGCAGGTGGTCTAAAATTTTTTTTCTCACCTGCAATCTAAAAGAATTTTGTAAAACTTCTTGCACATTTTGAAGTGGAATATGTAAAATCGTTTATCCTAATTTGAAAACTTATTTTTTAATAGGAAGGAAATAATAAACATTTTATAAAATGAAATAAGAGGAAGATGGTCTACATTTAGTCCATTGAGGTTGTGTTTGTGTTGCGATGTGATAAAATGAGTTTTAACTACTTACTGGATAGCATTCACTGACCATGAAAAAATTGTATAAAGTTTTTATCTGTAGATTTTATGCAGTTTATCTTGGAAAATCTTGAAAACAGTGCAGTTACATTGAAAGGAATCACCATTGCTACCCTCAACTGCTTCAGTTGTTCTGAATCTGGAATATTCCAATAATGGCCAAGCTTCCTCCCTACAGGGATATGTTTAGAATGGGGGAACATTGAGAAGCTCCATGGTTTGGGATGGAAGAGGGGCTACCTGTCTTTTGAGAAGTCGTTGTCTTCTTAGACCTCTGTGCCTCTTTAGAACCTCTCGACTACCTCTTCATAGAAATATCTTCTTTTTCTGACTTTCCAGTTTTTTTTTAATGGATGACCCATGATAATGACAAAAAATTAAGCCATATAAAATTACAAAGAATACAAAAAGCACCGCAAATCCCACCACCCAGATAGAACATTATCTTCTCCCTTGCCGTTGACATGACATTGCCTTTTCATGGTTCTTCTCCTCCCTTCCTTGTCTTTTGGCTAACTCCTCTTCTTCCTTCCAAAATCTAATTCTTATAACAAGAGCTATGGGTTGGATATTATCAATCTCATTTTACAGATGCTGAAACTGATCTCTCCATGCCAGCAAAGATCTCTGAGTTCTATGATTTGTGATTGTCAGGGAAAGTCTGAAATAAGAGGCTCATAAATTTCTTTAACCTTCTAGAGATGATAACCTACTTATGGGAAGTCAAGGGCTAGCACATCTGTCTGTAGAATTCTAGGAGGGGATTCTCTTGAAGGAAGTTTCCTCTCCAGCTTTTATGTTTGTTTCTTTGGATAACAAACCAACCAACAACAAAAACGTTAGGGTAGAAAATAAGCACATCCATAGTCAATTGCTTCACTTCAAAAATACTTTGGGCCCATGTAGTTTGAGGATAAAACCAAACTGACTACTTGTCAGGTCTCTCTTATTTCTCTCTCCTGGGTTGTTTTTTATTTATCTCAATTCCATGAAAATATATTATGGTTTGACAAATAAACTGTGAATACTCAAAAAGATGTATTATATTTCCAAAATATACTGTCTTCTCACAGTCATTTAAGGTAGAGTATATGTTGAAACACATATAATTAAATATAAGAATGGAATTCTATTTGGAAACTGTTAACTGAAAGAGCCTACCTTTATGTCTTCACCATAATTTTTAGACCTTACAACAAACAATGTGTTTCCTCATCTACCTGGGAGCAGGGCTTTCTCTGTGATGCTTCTGAAGTGAAGAGATTTACCTTCTGGCTGTTGAAGATAATGTGGTAACTGAGGAAATTAAAGGGAAAAACAAAGCGTGGGCTCAGTGTGTTTAGCTTAGGCCTGGATTCCAACTGGTCCGTGAATTATGAGACACTAATATACTAAAAGATTAATCCTTCATTAACAATGTGTAACGAGTTGGGAAGACTTGCTTCACAGGACAGCACACCAGTGGTGGTGCAGAAATGGTCTCAGGCCACAAATTAAGAGTTATTTGGAGAGCACAGCATGCTCTTCCCTATGCTTGAATGCATTGAGTTGGGCTAGACAAAGCAACTTTCCATCAGTGAGTGTATGCCGAAAGTCCAGGAGCCTTAAAAATGGAAGTGATCCATCCCAGGCACCTATGTACCCATACCTGCTATCTATTGCTTTGTAATCTACTATTGCAAAACAGCTACCATTTTATTATATCTCACTATTTTGTGGGTCAGGAATTCAGGCACTTCTGTGTGCTTTGATTGGTATCACTTGGTGACATTCATCTGGTGTCTGGACTGATCTGGAGGGTTCAAGATAGCTTTACTCACATATTTAGTCCCTTGGCAGGCTCAGCTGGGCCCGTCTCCCTCTCCATGTAGTCTCAGGGCTTCGCCATATGGTCTCTCTATCAGAGTGGTTGGACTTCTCATGTGTGGCAAGTAAATGGGAATGGATGCTCCCAGTCTCTTAAGGTCTTGGCCTAGAAATGGGTTCAGCATTACTTCCACTGTATTCTATTGGTCAGAGCAGTCACGGAGCGCGTCCAGTATCAAGGGGATGGGATAGAGATCTCATCTCTTGATGGGAGGCATGTCAAAGAATTTGGCACTATCTTTAATTCACCTTAATATATCCTCCCCCCCTCCCATTAAGACCTAGGAAGAGAGAAGAAGGAAATATCAGGAAAAGCAGTACCAGACAGACTCCTTGCCCGTCCGCCTCAGCCACGGAGGGCTTTGGTACACAGGTCAACTCCAGGAGTAGATTTAACTTGGGAGATAAAGTGCCTAAGTGCCCTGCGTCAGCCTCCTGGTGAATTAGCCTCTGCAATGTTAAAATGCAGTGAGCTGAGATTTCCCAAGGTGAGAAGGCTGTGAACCATTTCTTTAACTTGGAAGGCTGTGTGGCCCCTTTGCAGCACCCCCAGAGAGCAGCTGGTGAGCAGGAATGCGGCCACACGGCTTCAGGAAGAGCTTCCCGCCACAAAGTGGTGTGTATCCTGAGCTTCATCTTCCAAAGAGGAATTGTTTCAAGGCGTGAGGAGGGAGAGAGGATCAGTGGGGCAGGTTAAACACACCAGTTGCCCACCTCTTCTTAACAGAGAAAATGGAATTTGGGGGTGAATTCTACTATGTTGCTTTAAGATCAGTTTGTATCAAAAGGTAAGAACAGAGAACATTAACTTAAGCCAAAGGTGTCACCTTCAGCATGATTGGTGCAAAAATGTCACTTCTCAATTTTCTGATAAAGCACTCATTATGGCATTGGGGATGACAATGTGGGCTCTGGAGGGTCAGCCTGCCTGAGGTCAAATTCCAGCCTCAAAAGTTGCAGCACTGTGTCATCCTGGACATTCCTTGATTCCTTCATCTGTAGAATGGGAGTAATAATTGTTTTAAATAATAATAATGGTAATAATAAATACTTCATAGGACTGATGTGAGGATTAGATGAGAAGATGCACGGAACACCCTTAGTACAGTGCCTGATGCTTATTAAGTGATCACCACATAGAAAGTGTTCAATAAATGTCAGCTTTTATCACTGTTATTATAGCAATAGCCGCCACCCGGGTGGTGGAACATGAGGGCACTGGGGACTGAAGAAAGGGAGGGGTGGAAACCCAAGTAAGACTTCTCATTCCTCTCTCTCTGGTTATAGTCACTGGGGTATAATGTGATCTATAAACTCTTCTGTCTGTTGACATGCCAGCAAATGATACGTCTCTCTGATCTACTTAGGTTTTCAGGCTTAATGTAAGGGCCCAGGTGCTGGAGGCTCAAAGCGGAGAGAGAGCTGGGGGCTGGGGGCTGTCTTGGCCTTTACAAACCATTGCCACTCTAATAAATAAAGCATTCACTCAGAGGGTCTGAGAGCTGGGGAGCCACATTGCGTGCAAATCCAGATCAGTGGCTGAGCTTCTTCCAGGTTGAAGCTAATCGTAACTGACATGTTAGAGCAAAACTACTTTATAAAATCAATATTAAATTTACAACCTTTGACATCCTGGGACATCAAAGATAAGGGGGAAATAAGCCATGGAGTAAACAGTCCTCCAGCTATGCCAGCTGCTCAAGGAGGCGGAGAGATGTGGGAAACAGGAGCCCAAATCATGCACTGCTAGTCTTGTTTTTGTACCAACGTCTTGACATCAATAAAAACATTAAAAAAAATTCACACATGTTTACACACAAAGAAGAAAGGGAAGCAAGCTCCACCAATCCAGCAGACTCCCAGAATCATTCCAGAGTGAAGTGATTGGGTTCTTTCTCTAACAACGAGGCTTGATTTTTCTGGACAGTGGGATGCTGCAATTATGGGGCAAACACCCCTTTGTGAGGCTGGCAAATCCCCTGCTGGAAACTCTAACCTCTCAAGCCAGGGGTCAAGCTCTCATGAAAGTCTGCAGCTCTCTGGTAGGTCCTCCATATATTCGCTGGGATTCAAATACAGCAGAAAGGGACACTCGGAAGCGGAGTAAAACTATAAAGGTCATCACAAGAGAAGAATACGTTTCTCTGCGTGCTCCTCAGGGGGTGCTAGCTCTCCGCTGCTCATGTCTGGGGTAGGATTCTTACTTCTGGAAAGGAGATTTTAATTTTGACTTCTAGAAGCAGAATCGCCTTAGTCCTACCAGGAGGAGTCTGTCTGGGGCAGGAGACCCTGCAGCATCCAGCATCAGTAAGATAACGAAGGACTTCCCTAGTCCCTTGCATCCAGAAGCATGTTGTCCTAAGGACTGGTCAGAGAACTATGTCACCTCCACTGTGATCTGAGCACCTTGAGGTCGTTACATAAAATAGCAGGTGCTCCAGGACAGGTGGACTGAGGAAGGCAAGGCCAGGCGGCTCTGCTGGTCTGAATAGACGCTTCTGTAGAGCTTCCTCTTTTGGAAGAACAGCTTGGATTTAGCCCCTGGTTCACCTGCGCTCAGTGGTGTGAGTCTGAATTGACCAAAATAGATGTTTAATTCAGTGTTTCCATGTATGAAAGCTTTGAGAGGCATAGCAGCAATGCTGTGCTTTCCTCCCTCCTCTCCCTGTCTCCCATCTAACCCTCTAAAGTGATTGATTTGAGCATCTCTGCTTTGTGGCCATTAGGAGGTCATGACAGTATTTTTGGCTCAGCCTTCAGATTTTGTATGGTTGTATGATCAGAGACAGGCACGTTAAGACCAAACCTAACAGTGAGATTCAGTTTTCATCTGCTTCCCGAATGCAAAACAAAACATAAATAATATACTCTATTTAGAATTCTGCGGAAACCAACTCACCCTAAGCAAGCCAGGCAAAGTCTAGGAGACGTGCAGCTGTTGGTGGGTCTTGCTGGTGTGTATGAGTGTGAATGTTGGGAGCCTGGGGCACAACTGGTAAGAAAAACAAATGCCTACTTGAGTCTCGTGTATGTAGAACATGAAAAACTACCCCAGTACATAAAATGATTTTGCTTCTTTGATTAGGCTGTAAACTTCATGAATTCCTAGAATGGTGTCTGGCACATAGAATGTGCTTTTTTTTTCTTCGTGAATAAATGAATTAGAATTTCCTAGATAAATTGTAGGAGGAAACTAGTACTTGTTTAGGGCTTAATCTGTGCCAGGCACTATGGTAGGCCCTCTACCTATGCTTTCTTACAGTATCTCTACATTGATTTTTCGTTGCCACTGGAACGATTAACACAAACTTAGTAGCTTAAAACAATACAGATTTTTATTTTATTTTATTTTATTTTTTGAGGAAGATTAGCCCTGAGCTAACTACTGCCAGTCCTCCTCTTTTTGCTGAGGAAGCCTGGCCCTGAGCTAACATCTGTGGTCATCTTCCTCTACTCTATACGTGGGACGCCTACCACAGCATGGCGTGCCAACCAGTGCCATGTCTGCACCCAGGATCTGAACCGGCGAACCCCGGGCCGCCGAGAAGGAGAACGTGCGCACTTAACCACTGCGCCACCGGGTGGGCCCCCAGATTTTTAATCTCATAGCTCTGTAGGTCAGAAGTCTGTTGTGGATCTCAATGGGCTGAAATCAGGGTGTCACCAGGGCTCTGTTCCTTTCTGGAGCCTCTAAGGGAGAATTGTTTCCCTGCCTTTCCCAGCTCCCAGAGGCCCCCCATATTCCTTTCCATATGGCCTCATTCCTCTGTCTTCACAGCCTGCAATGCTGGGTCTAGTCCTTCTCATCCTGTCATCTCTCTGTTTCTTGTTCCATTGTCACATCTCTTCAAGACCGCAGCCTGGAAAAGACTCCACTTTAACCCACATGATTAGATTGGGCCCAGGATAATCTCCCCATCTCAGAGTCCATACCCTGCAAAGTCCCTTTCGCCATGTAAAGTAACATATTCACTGATTCTGGGGCTTAGCATGTGGGTGTCTTTGGGGGGAGGGGGTCCTTATTTGTCTACCCCGTTACAGAGGAGAAGAAACTGAGTCTCAGAGAAGTGAAGTAACCTGCTCCAGGTCATATAGTATGTGACAGAGTTGAGACTGCAGCCCAGGTCCATCTGTCTCCAAAGCCGGGTGTTTCCTACTATCCACGAGATTTCAAGCTATAAAACAGCACGCTGCTGGATGGGGTTGGGCTTCGGGTCTGGTGGGGTGCGAGCTGGAAGAGAAACCTGAAGGCAAATTCTCCCCACAGAGGTGAGGCAGAGAATCAGGGCACTGAATCCGAGGGAAATGCTTCTTTGAAAGAAGAAACGGATTTGCATTGGAAAGAAATAAATTCATTCTTCTAAGGGAGATGTTGGTTTAAGGGTGAAGAATCAAGTCTGTGACTTAGATGAAGCACCATCTTCTTTCCCGGGGCCTCAGGGACCCTGGAGATCCCATACCCTATGTTGTCCTGTGCCCACTTGGCAAGAGATTTACCAAGCCAGTTCCTTCTAAGTCATGGGGACTCAATGCCTACCCCTCCCAAGAGTTTTACACCTAATAGTAGGATGCCATAACCCAAAGGCATACACAGAACCTCTGGATTTCTTAGTTTTTTGAATTGATAAGATGACCAGGGCGATATTGGTTGGCATTTGTTATTGTGGGCTAAATTTGTTTGCGGTAATGGAAGACTTTCTATCCCTATGACGCCTGAGTCAGGAGATATTCTTGGTCCTGGGAGCCCTCCAGGTAACAAGTTGGTTACCACCTATTCTGTACACCTCAGGAGAATAATATATGGGCAATAGAAAAATGGAAAAGATTGGTATAAAATTCAAAAGAAAACACGAAGAAAGGTGGTTTCGGTTTGATGGGAGTCTTTGCCAGAGATGAGGCCAGAGGCTGCCCTAATAGCTGATGTTCAACCCCTTTTCCCTTTTTATAAGAAAAAAGAGGATCAAAACCAACCTTCCTGAATTTCATTCTCTGGTGCTAATAGGACAGAACAGCAATGACACACCACAAAAAATAAGGATACGATTTACAAGTGAACCAGATGGTTCCCATCTCATCTCATTGAGTTGTTATCTTTTGAAGAGTTCATTTTCGTGGATTACAAAGAGAATGTAATCACTTTAGAAATCCTCCGAGAGTTTCATAATGAACTCTACTTACATTGTGTTGACACTAATAGTAACTATAACCATGATCTTCAAATCCCCATGTAGGAGGCAGGGTTATTGAAATTATAGCACGGGCCAGTAATTCATTTAAAAACATACTTTAAAAAATGAGCTTTATGCTAACCAAAAGCCCACTGAAACCAGTTTCACTTACAAATAGGAGCTGCTATATTAATAAGAAAATCAATATAGTTTAACTTATGAAAAGTAACATTTTGCTAAGTTTTTTTGCCCAGGTTAGGCTCATATCAAATTAAGAAACTAAGTAAACCAAACATTTATATGAGTGACTCATACTGTGAAAAAAATGTGATCACAGCTTCATATCACAAAACTATTAAGTTCTGCTCAAGTAATTTCCTCTCAGCATTTCCTTTCCTCACTTAAGGTTTCCTTCTTAACCAAAAAGCATCAAATTAGGAAGCTTAAATGACTGAAGTATTAACACTCTCAGGAAAAAAATGATTGCCTTTCAGAACGGAGGAAAGAAATGCTCACCAATCTACCTTCCCAAGGTAAATAGTTACAAAGTAACAGGAACAGAGGGTTTTTTTTTGTTGTTCTATTTTTTCTAATAGTTTGATTTTCGATGAAGTTTCCTTTAATCCTTTAAAATCATTTCCAGCAGTGAGCAATTCAGCAAGTTCAGAGAACAAGATGGCCAGACCTTCAGTCCTTGAAGATTGGAATTAGATTAGTGGGATTGTATTGAAGTAATTTTTGCTATTTCAGGTGTAATAAATTATAACTCATATATGGTTCAATTAGCATTCTTGTGAATACATCTAACATTTCTCTCTATGCAATTTTTGTTTAATTTGGTATGCCTAGTTCATTTTCTCTATATTTCTGTTTGAATAAAAATAAATTTTGAAATTTTACCTATTGTTTCAATTTTTATATTTATTGATCCACACACAGTCTCCCCTCCCCCCTTAGCAGTATTTGTTAAGTAGGGTTGATACATGTTAAGGTGCCAAATGTGTAATGTTCCATTGCCAGGTATAAAAAAATCTTTTCCATGGAGTTTGGACCTCGGTCTCAAAGTTCTTCTGAACACATTTCCCTGGGCAGTTGTTACCAGTTAATTCAAGTAGGCATTTGAGTCAAAACCTTCATCATTAGCGTTTAGGTCATAAAATAGAACATTTATTAGATAATTTCAGCAGAAAGGGATGTAATACAGGGAGTTAGATGCTTACCAAATTGCTGGAAGATCAGAGGAGCAGACTCGAGGCATGACTTTCAGGAATGGCCTCTAGAACACTGCAGAACTGAGCCTCCAGTTACGCTGCTGCAGTTAGGAATGGAAGGAATCAGGAAGCTGCAAACGAAATTCTACAGTCCCAGAACACACTGCCGTAGCTGCAAGCCAGGGATCAGAAAGCTGGGCTCTGAAGCCACCACCACCACCTTTGCCTTTCAACACCCAGGACACTCTTGATTGGACAGGGAACACAGAATATGGCTGCTGCTACTGCTGATGCTCATATGAGTGACTTAATTGTGGAAACCTAATTTGCATCCAGAATCCTGGTTTCAAGGAAGCCTGAGAGGTGTTGTTTTCAGCCCAGGAAGGCATATGAAGTCAGAACCTATACTAAAGTTATATCCTTGGTGAAACCTTCTTGGTCTCTCTGTCCTTATTGGATCCTCTCTGCAGGGAGATGCAGAACTTGTGTGCAGAATAACAGGAAGATGTAGGGAACTGGGTTTTTAAAAGAAGATATGCCAAGACTATATAGGGGATTTGACTCCCAAGTTCCACTTAGAGGACACAGGAAATGATATTTCCAGCTTCTTATATTTAATTTCTCTTTTTGGCAATTCATCTTAGGAACTTAATTTAGTTCTTGAGCAACTTGATGCTGCCAAATGACTTAGCTCTTTGCATCTGATGATCCTGCCTTTCCCTCTCACAAGAAAGGAGGGCACCGCCTGTCTTTATTTCTTACCTGAATTAATAGGGACTAGCTCCGTATATTTCCTGTGGCAGTTTACCCTGCTAATATTCAGTTATTGCCACTCCATATAGAGTGAAAGTAAAATGGATATGAATATGTTATCCAAATATTATATATCTAGGCATAAAATGCACTCGTAATTTGAAGTTCACAGCCACATCCCTACCCTCCTGCGAAAAAAATTGATTCAGTGGGAAACCAAAGAGTACAAGCACAACATTGAAGGTATTTTGACTTCTATAATCCATCCATTATGGCTGTGTGGGTAAGTTACTTAACTTTTCCTAAGTACCCCAAGCTTTATGTACTAATATCTTTCATCTGTAGGGTACCCCACAGATTCTCAAGGTTTCCCTATAAGCATGTGTGGTGGGATCAGCATGATTAAATGACATGGTTCAGTCATGGAGCAGAGTGGAACTCAAACCCTTGACTTTGAACTCTCAATAAAATTGTTTTTTACTACACCAAGAAAGATCAAAACTATTCTTCTTAGAGGAATATTAGTACTAATAATTTGTAACCACGTTGTCAATGTGTCCAGCAAATATGAAATGCCTGAAAACAAATACCCATAGAACAGAATTTGATATGCTAAATGTTAAGAATTTAGTTTCACATTTGCAATTTTATATAACTGGCAGAGGGCTAATTGTATGACTTTTGCCTCTTTGATATGTGAGTGTTTATCTTATATCTGTTTAGATACCACAATTAAATAGCCACTTTAGATCAACTATTAATTCCTATGGAAATATATTTTTTTCTGGGAAAAATGTATGTGCATTAAGAACACAGCCATAAAGTTATAATTTTCTATCATTGCTCTCATTGTAGTAAGCTTACCCTGTTGTTTGTGGTCATACGCAACCTTTGCTTTCAAGGCTACTCCAAGTAACCGTCTCCAAGCCTGCCTTCTCCCTCTGGTGTCATCACGTAGAGCTTCTTCTCACCTGCCACATTTAGCGAGACCCAGCTGCATTTTAGTACGTTCTAGCATCTAATCTCACTTACCACATACATTGCCTGCAGGGCAAGCACATCGATATGCGGCTTATCATTCCTATATTCTTTCTAAGTGACTTCCTTCTGGAAGCAGGTAAGGGTGAAGAGAGGCTACCCAGTCTTTCTGACCTTAAACTATTTATATGAGAATAAAATACAGCCTTATTTAGGCGATCAGCCCCCTGCGAAAAACAGATACAATTTTTAAGCCTAGGGAAGTTCAAAAACACAATGGAGACAATCTGAAAATTTTTCTCAAAGCAAGCCTTTTGAATATAAAAGGTAAGTCACAGAACTGGAGAAAAATCTATCGGGAGTATTTATGTATTAAAAAAATTGCATGTCATTTGCCTACGTTCTTACACTAATTATGTCAACTCTGTCGCTACTTCTTTCTTTGTGGGGAAACTCCACAAGAAAGTCACTCAAAGAAATGGTTTAGAAATGTTTCTTTGCTTTCACTTTTTTCTTTTCATTTTGTAGAGGCCAGCTTGCTCACAAGTACTCTCTTTTTAAAAAAATACGTGATGCCTATAAAGAAGGAAGCAGGATGGCTGGCTTTAGGTCAGAAGTCATTTGCATCGAAGAACCCTGTAAGTGCCTGACTAATTTAGTTGGTAGAAATGAGATTCTGAGAGATACAATAAATGGACCAAGGAGTGCTCTAAGGTGACAGACTCTGGTGGGTTATAAGGTCACATCATGTCCTGGTTTTTGGTCTCTGTTAATAATCTGTTGTCATGTACAGCGGGTTCTGGTGTACAGAGTAATTCAAGTGCTCTTCTGTTGGGCATATGGTGCTTTTAAGAACACTCCAAGGGTTGATTTGCCGGCTCTGGCTGATAAAGAATGGCACAGTAGGAAGGAAGGGAACAAGCCGTGGATGGTGCGTGGGATTCAGGAGAGGAAGGGATTCGTACGAGACCAGAGCTGTTGAGAAAAACAACATGCAGTGACTTAATTAGAAAACCAGTTTTGCCATCATTGAAGTTGAATTCCTGCAAGTGTCATGGTTTCTTATGGTAAAATTTAATGGCATAAAAGTGTATATAAATGTGTATATAAAATCAGTAAAATGTGTATATAAAATATGTATATTGTGTTCATGTATGTTTTATATATGCAGGCATATATACAAATACATATATTAAACAGCAAACGGACAAGATTTAACCCCAGCTGATGCACTGGGGGAAGGAAGAGATATTTGATAGGAGCAAAAAAGAAATAATTTTAGAGGAAACTTTTTGAGTAACAGAGAAGAATCTTCCAGGAAACAGCTTGGTACTCCTTCTTTCCCCATTTACAGACAGAGAACATAGTACATTTTTCTCATAGTATCACCGACAGATCCCATTCACTGGCAAAAGGTGTGATTTTGTATATAAAATTAACAGGGTAAGTTTACCCTTGAAGAGCGTCATGCCTCCACGATTTCCTGTTACAGGAATTTGTGTAATAATAAAAAGGATCAGAAATTGTCAGAAATAGGAATATGGCCGACCACATCTGTGCTGTTGGAGAAAGCCCTAATGCCAAATTTGAGTAATTTCAGGCAGAGATCCTGTAAACTCTGCAATGAGGAAGTCAGCTCTGACACAAAAACTCACCCAACAGGAACCGGTATGGAGCAGAGGGGGCGGTCTCAGGACTTCAGAGAACTAAGAGGTCAAGAAGAATACGCATGAAGCAGAGGCATGGTCGACATTAACCAGTCACTCTCAGCAGAGATTTTTAAAAAACCACGGCTGTCCAACATATGGCCTGTGAACCAAACTAATCCTGTCTGACATTGGGTTGCCGTTCACCTGAGATTTTGAAGAAAAAATATTGTTTTCCCTAGTTACCTACTTTCTTCATCATAACCAGCTGACATGCTTAGCTAAGAGCTGACTGCTGCTGGGTTTTACACAGAAGGCTTAGATCAATAATTGTAATGGAAGCCGAAGTCATCAGTTATATACTTGTGAGTTGCTCAGGTTTAAATCCATGCTATCATATCATAAAACTTGGCTATTGTAAATGACTGTGGAATGAAGCGAAATTAGCATAAATCAATCTTTGATAAAGACCACCCATGCTTGAGTTGAGTTCAGCCATTCACTGGACTCACTAATACTAGGTAAATAAGTAAGTAAGTAAATAAATGTCACTTCCTACTGAAGACATGAATGTGCTCCCAGCCCAAGAGCACAGAGAGGAGGAAAAGGGGAGACAAACTTGTCTCCATTATGTGCCAGGAATGGCTCTAAGGGTTTTCCACAGCTCTCTTCTTGTAGTGCCCCCAAAGGCCTACAACATTCAGGTGATTATTCCCACCTTGCAGACAAGGAATCGGACGCACAGATAGCACACTTATCCGAACTAAAGTCCCACAGTTTGGCAAAGAATATAGCCAGCTCTTCAAGCTCGTGATTCTAAAGTCCATATTCTTAGTTATGCTATGTATTATTTATATTTTGTTGCATATATATATTTAGGGATATATGGTTTCTTACCTTATGTGGTTAACTTATTACTTTGAGTTGAGGTCTTCTCAACTATATAACATAACATAAAAAATATGATAACAAGATTATCAATAATCTAAAAACTGTTATTATATAATTAATAATAGAAATGCTCAATGAAATAATATATTTGTTCCCTAGAAAACAGTAAATTGAACAAACTCAACTAAATTAATAAGAATGACTATTTCGGGGAGGTAGGATAATAAATAACTTTTAGTTTCTGCTTTGTGCTTTTTTTATATTTTCTATTTTTCTCTGATGATCATAGATCACTTTTTCTAATCTAAACTGATAGTATTTAAAAAAATAAAATCACAAAGTATCATAATAGAGATCTACCTAAAATAGGTGGATCGAAATATAATTTGTAATGCCTTTCTTGGACACCATTAGTAAACCAAGAAAGAACATGTTTTTTGAGCAGTGTCCATTTTTTTTTTTTTTTGAGTGTGTTACCTATTAAATTTACTTGGTCAACTTTCTCATTTCCAAGTTTATTTCAGGGACTTCTGTACTCAATTCAAAAGACTTGTTTGAAACAACCTATGCGGGAAGCGATAAACGGTAGGTGTATATTTGGGCCTGGTTGTTAGTTCAAAGCTGAGAGTCAAAGAAATAAATAATTACGCCTATAAGAGATTTTTGGAAGGTGTATATATGTTGCATCCCAAGGACAGGCTGTACAGTACAACCGTTAATGCAGGAGCTCTAGGGCCAGACGGTTTAGGTCGAGTCCCAGTTCCATCATTGCCAGGTGTATAATCCATGGCAACTTTTTAAATCTTTCTATGGCCTAGCTCAGTCTTCCATAAGATGGGACTAATATTAGTACCTGTACCTCATAAGTCTGTTGGGAGAGTTAAGTGAGTTGGTACATAAAGCACTTAGAGCAGTGCTGGATACCTCATAAGCATTCGATAAACGTTAGCTATCATTTAGCCCAGATGGACGTATGTCACAGTAAGGAAAGAACCAAACAATTTCTACAAAGACTTGTGTTTAAAAACTAAATAAGTGAGGGGCTGGCCCCGTGGCCGAGTGGTTAAGTTCGCGCGCTCCGCTGCAGGCGGCCCAGTGTTTCGTTAGTTCGAATCCTGGGCGCGGACATGGCACTGCTCATCAGACCACGCTGAGGCAGCGTCCCACATGCCACAACTAGAAGAACCCACAACGAAGAATACACAACTATGTACCGGGGGGCTTTGGGGAGAAAAAGGAAAAAATAAAAATTTAAAAAAAAAAAAAAAAAAAAAAAACTAAATAAGTGAATTACAAGACTAGATTTTCTCACAGAATACAAACCAGTGCTCTTGGAATGAAGTAATTCGAAAGCACATTATATGCCATGTTTGAACTCACTTGCTATCTGTCCTTTACTTCCAGGCAGGGAATAGCTCTAAAGAAGTCTGTCCTGAGCCCCAAGAGTTTGTCTTAAAATTATACTTTGCTGGGGCTGGCCCCGTGGCCGAGTGGTTAAGTTCGCGTGCTCCACTGCAGGTGGCCCAGTGTTTCCTTGGTTCGAGTCCTGGGCGTGGACATGGCACTGCTCATCAGGCCATGCTGAGGCAGCATCCCAAATGCCACAACTAGAAGGATCCACAACAAAGAATATACAACTATGTTCTTGGGGAATTTGGGGAGAAAAAGGAAAAAAAAATTTATTTTGCTGCCCCCTTTTTCAGTGTCAGATAATCTACAATGGTTATCATGGAGTTAGTCTTAGATCCTCCCTTCCTTTATTTTATCACTAGGGGAAAGTTGAAAGTGTGTGGGAAGGGTGTAGACATTCAGAGGTTTGGCTTTTAAATGCCTAATAATAATAGCAGCCAATAGTCGAGTACTTTATCATGAGCCAGCATTCAACAAAGCACTCTGCAAGAATTTAACTTCTCAATAAACCTATGATACATATGATAATAACATATCTTATTGCCTTTATTTTACAGATGAGGAAACTAATCTCCAGAAATTATTCTCACAGCTATGAACTGGAGCTGGGATTAAAATCCAGGCAGTCAGAGGTCAATCTGGCTTTCCTATCAGATCCACCTGGTCCAACGATGAACACAAATAACAGAAAAAGTGAAAATAGACATTGACTTTCAGCACAGAGGGATGATATTCAAAATATTCACCAGCTGGTCAGCTCAGACACTAATTCTGACTAATGAGAATGGATGGCAGTGGTGAACAATTGGCATAGCTATACTGGTGTGGACTGTCTGAATACCAGCTCTAACTTTTAGGGAAAAAAGGATTAATTTGCAAAATATATCACCAAACATCTTCAAAAAGAAAATTAATTAAATTACAATGGATCAGTAAAGACCGTATCAAGTCCAATATATAAGGCAGGTGAGTTCATGCTCCTGAACAACTTTCAGATACCCATCACCAAAATGGTATGTTTTAAAGATGGTAGAACTGTTTGACTGTGTTCTTTCCTCGAACAGTGCAGTTTTTCCCTGCTGGTTCTATGAACCAGCGGTAACGAGGCTCAAGATGGAAAGAGTGGTCTTGACAGGGCCCTGCCGTTCTCTAAATCCATCTCACTTATCTTCTCTAGGGAGGATTAGAATGGATTTTTATGTTAATTCATTTCGTTGATTTGGCATCTGTTTGGTATTGTGTAGGTAATAGGATAATGAGTATAATGTTACAATACTGGGTGGCTAAAAATATCGTCCACCCAGAATCAAATGATAAATAAGTTCGTGGACTCCCGTTTGATGTACTTTGATAAATATGCCCACATTTGGTGCTCCCACTTTGACTATCCTGCAACAGCACATGCAGATTTTCTTACTAAGGTTTTCTCCTGTTTCTTCTATAATTGAGAAGCCAATTGCTTCTGGCACTTATAGCCTGAAGTGTAATATTAAGTCATAGGAGGAGAAACATCTGGGTGCTGGTCCTGGAGCTGCTTCTGAGGGGCCTTGAGCAGCACAGCTGCTGTGTGAAACAGTCCTTCCCCTGGAGAACTGTGGGAGGAGTGAATGACATCGAGCACGTGGAGCCAGCGCTTCCTTTCTGGAACAAGAACAAACAAAGTAAAACATTTGGAATTCCGATATTCTCGTGACCCTAGAAAGTTTTGAAAGTGCCACAGTCCTTAAAATTACTATGCTTATTTGAGAAAAAAAGTTTTAGTTATTATTTCCTGGTGGGGAGAATTCACTGTCCTGAGGGTGTGGCACCGTGTAGCAATCGTTAAGATCGTCATGATTTGGTTTGCTCCTGTGTGTCTCCTTTCTGTTTTGTCTGCCCAGATGTGTGTGAGGCCCCGTTTGCCATGCCTCCCAAACTCTAACCCCAGCATCATAAGGAAATTATATTTAGGGCCTTAGAAGATTGTCTTAGGTTTATAGCTAATGAGGTACGTTTTTTGTTTCATTAAGGATTTTCCCATTCGGATTTTAGATTCCCTTATAGTTTTCTTAATAAATGATATACCTCTGCTTTTACACATTTTTATTCCTCTGGCTAGCTTTTTCCTAACTTGTCATTTAAAGTGAATACTTGTAGATGCTTTAATTTCTGAGATTTTCACCTTCTGAGCTGCAAAGCACCAACCACCATGATAATCTGCTTCACCTGGAATCCAACAACAGTAGGAGATGATACTTCTTTTGATAAAACTACTCTGTGCATTTTAAAGTCCTGATTTTCCACTTTTTTTTTAAGGTATGGGTTTTTTTTGGTGAGGAAGATTGGCCCTGAGCTAACATCTGTTGCCAGTCTTCCTCTTTTTCTTTTTCCTCCCCAAAGCCCCAAGTACCTAGTTGTATACCCTAGTTGTAAGTCCTTCCAGTTCTTCTATGTGGGACGCCACCACAGCATGGCTTGATGAGCAGTGCGTAGGTCCGTGCCCAGGATCTGAAGTGGTGAAACCAGGGCCGCCAAAGCAGAATGCACGAGCTTAACCACTATGCTGCCAGGCCGGCCCCTGATTTGCAACTTTTGAATGCTGTTTTTTATTAATTAAAATTGCTCTGGGCTTATGTAGACAGTGATCTGGGCTTCTCTATGGTATAACATGCAAGGAAAGCAACAGACAACAGGGAGCCCTAAGAGTCTCAACATAGAGCAGAAGGGCTCGTGGAAGATAAAGCGTAGGAAACAAAGGGTGCTGGAAGCACAGTTTAATTCTTTCAGGTTCTTGGCACCTGGCTTTTCAATTAATGCTGTTCCTTGAGTTTTGAAAGAGATCACACACATTTTCGCTCTAGGAGCATTCAGAGCAAGAACAGCATCACCCATCTCTAAAAATATTTCCCAGTGGATAAACTGTTAAGAAAACATGTTTGTGTTCACACTTTGAATAGAAATATTTACTATTCAGACTCTGTACTTGAATTTTTTTCTCTTTTCTTTTTTCTCAAGTAACTAAATTGGCTTTTTGTGAAATGATGACCAAAATCAGGACACTGGGTCATCACCTTTATACCCCAAACAAAGGATCAGGAATTCCAGAGCCTGGAAATAATCTCCACCGAACCAGCTTACATTGTGCAGAGTTTTGTTTGTTTGTTTTAATTCAAAAGCACAATATTTCAGGAGAAGAACATGTTCGAAAATAGTTCCTAAAAACCTGGGAGGCAATATTGGCGATATATTGGAGCTTTAATGAAAGGCTCTCACATTCATTAAAACATGAGCTCAGATGACTCTAGTTCTGTGGATGAGGGTCTGAGCTGATGGGTTTAATTAATGTCACTATTGTTTTTCCCCCGGTCAAACTGATTCACATTCTGTCTATATTTTACACAATTCTTGTTCTGAAAAATAATTTTTTTGAGGATAGACCAGATATTTGGGGATCTTTGAAATAGGGTAACTTAATGACTTAGCTCACTAGGTCTTAACTAGGTATCAATCAACCCCTTATTTCACTTGCTTACCATCAATCCTGTGCTGAGACTTTTGGCTTCTTTACTAAGTAACAACTTTAAAAGAGTACAATTTATCCTTTCTGGACAGTGTTAGGAATAAAGGAAAACATCGTAAATAGTTTTATTTATTCTTTCCTTGCGACTTTAGAGTTGGGTTATTTAGAGTTGTATCATCTAACAAAGACACTTTTTTTGCCCTTATTTTTGTTCTTATTGTACATATTATCACTGATTTTTGCTGCTTAACTGTTCAGTGTTTAGCACATTCAGTGCTGCCTGATAAAAAAATATTTACTTCATTTCTCTTCACTTTGCTGTCGTGAGATGATTTCCATGGATGATAAAACTGAGGGTGTTTGAGAGACAAACACAGGAATATAAGCTGGTCTGCATATGACACTCAACACCTTGATGTGGTTTCTAGGTAACAGCAGCTGCCTGCAAAGTCATTCTTGATTTCAACACCTGAGGTGGGGTTGGGGCGGGACTCCAGCACAGCACAGGCTGGTCAGAAAATTGGGAGCAAATGACTCTAGTTGGTCATCATTTACTTTTCCTGTTGTTTTGGGGAAGAATTTTGTATCAGTTTTGTAGAGCTTTAGAAAAAGGATGATCTATTTCTGCATCACTTAGCATGGAGAACCTGTTGACAGTTTATATTATTACCGTTTCATATTGTATTTGAAACTTTATATGCTTCCTTATATTATTTTTTTGAAATTGGATTGAGCCAGGATTTGTGTTAACTTCTAGGACACCAGTGGAATGTTCCTCTACTGGGTGACATTTTTATTTGAAAATAAATTTCTGAAGGAATGAATAATAGACGTCAAGATAGCATAACCAGAACCTATTTTATGATGCTTATAAATGGCAAAGTTCCATTTAATGTATTTTTCCCCCCATGCTGTACTTCCCAATCCCTCCTTACCCCCACTTTTTTTTTTTTTTAAAGATTTTATTTTTTCCTTTTTCTCCCCAAAGCCCCCCCAGTACATAGTTGTGTATTCTTCATTGTGGGTTCTTCTAGTTGTGGCATGTGGGACGCTGCCCCAGCGTGGTCCGATGAGCAGTGCCATGTCCACGCCCAGGATTCGAACCAACGAAACACTGGGCCGCCTGCAGCGGAGTGCGCGAACTCAACCACTCGGCCACGGGGCCAGCCCATTACCCCCACTTTTTTGAGGCCAAATTGAGGCAGAGGAACAAGGAGAATAAAAGAAGGATTGTGACTAAGCGTTCACAACATTGCTTCAGCACTGTGAGTAAATACATAATAGACAAGCAGAGAGCCAGAGGCCCAGTGGCTTCCAGGCCCCCAGCCATTCTTGTCAAGCAATTGCAGCAAATCCAAAAGCACAAAATCAGTAATTCTTAACTATTCATCAAAGCCACCAGAAGCAAACTTTCAAAACTTTTCTTCCATTCTTGCTTCATTTCCTCTTTGTCTCCCTTCTTTATTTTTTGACAGGTTCTCTTTATTTTCTCTTTTTCTGTTCTGGCTAATTTTCAGGTTGCTTGAGTTGGGAAAGGTTAAAAAACTCAACAAGATGAAGAGAGAAGAGATGAAAACAATGGCCAAAGGTTAGGAAAGAGATAGCTGGAAGAAACAAAATTCTTGAATCTCTCTTAGACTTTGAGAGTCTTCATCAGGGAGGAAATAGTGGCTGCACAATGCAGAGCAATTTTAGTTAGGACTCTGGGGGTAGCAATAAATCTTAATGTTTGGAAATCATTGCAAAGATTTTTCATGAAAATTAAAATACTAGAGTATTATATATTAATATGATGGAATGCAATAAAATCATCTATCATACATAGGAATAAATGGCATGAATTCTATCATAATGTAAGTACCAGAGATTTATTGAGTAATCAGAAAAAAAAGGGCTTTAATATGACAATATAAGTCTCACAAAAAAGAAGGAGCTTAGTAGGATCAATAATCCAAACTATTTCTTATGCTGTCAATTCAAATTTAAAACAGAAATAAAAAGAAGCATTTCTGCTAAAATATACCATCACAAAGGGAAAATGAATTTACTTCCTAATTCCTGGCCCTCCAGCAACATGGAAGGTATTGACTCAAAACTTTGCTCTTTCCCTTTCCCCCCGTCTCTTTGAGATGATATCTGAAACTCAGTAGGACCTTATAATTAAAGAATAATTTACTGATGGTGAAATACTTTTCATTTCACTAAATAGATTTGAAAATAGAAATTCACTAAAACTGATAATTTCAGGGATCCTGATGCCAAGAATGGGTGACATCAGCCAGGTTTTTGTGTGAATATCTTCAATGACTGTTCAAGCTTTTGGGGTTTAGCCAAAGCCAAAACATGTTCTCCATGCTGTTGCGTTTTATATTCCGGGTGCTTTGGTTGGGATGACTACATGCTCTATAAAAGAGCTGGAAAAGGCAAGGGAAAACCCAACAAGGGAAAATAAAGTATTTGGTCACTGTTCTCTGTATGGTAACAATCTTCTGGATATCTAGAATCATAGAATCGTCAAAGCGAAATTAGGGGAAGAAACCCAGAAAATGGAAGGCCTGAGGGTCAACCTGCTTTTAGCTCTGACCCGTTTAAACTTTTATATTCATGTGCATCACGAGTAATGCCATATAACTGCAGTCGGCAATCTTTGTTGAATGAAGGAATGAATGGCCAGTCCAAGACAGAAGCTGGTCTAACTCACTAACACAGCTGTTTGTTGAACCAAATACCTGGAACTGCAGGGAAGTGAAGCAAATAAGTGTAAAACACGGTATCTTCCCTCAAGTTATTATCTCCCTCTGAGAAGTTCATCTTCGTTTTGGGGTCTGCTCTGTTAACTCTATTTGATTTTCACTCCACTTTGTGCAATCTAAAAGTACTTGATTTATGCTAGTAGTAGTCATGCTAATCCTAAATGACCCTTTCTCTACAACCATCTATAAATGTATTTATTAAGATATTAAGGAAGATTTTACAACGCATCACAGCATTGACATAGCAGGCACACATTATCTGGGTTTGGAACTGAACTCAATTTTAGGTTTGGAAGGGGATTTGAGAACCATGGGATGTACCTTTTCCCAGTGAAGCATTATTATGTCATCTGCTCTTGCCCCACATTATTTTGCTAATTTAAAAGAGCAACCATCCATAGCTTCCGTGCATTTGTTTTTCATTGGATGACAAACTAGAGAGACAAAGGAAATGTTCCTTGGTGAAGAGAGTTTGTGCCACTAAGTGACTTATCATTAGCTATTTTGGGATCTTTGAAAGTGTAATACATGTTTTGAAATGGACGCCCTGTCCGGAGAACTGCTTCCTCCTCTCAACTCTTTTAACTGCTGCTAGAATCTCAAAGATAAATGGAATCTATCACTCTTTATTTATGTGATTTCAAACTGTGAGTTAAGTGATTAAATGAGATACCACTTACCTTAGAGCCCTGAGGGGGCATTTGGGAATTTATCTGGGAGGACTCAAAAGGGGGTTACATTAAGTATGGCTACAGTGCAAAATTCTGCACAGTCAGAATGACAAGATTGTAGTGCCAGTGAATCTGAATTAAGAGTTCACATCTATAAAGAAGCAAACACATAGAGAGAGATGCCCCTGGTTCTCTGTAGTTAAGGGCATCCTGCTAGAAAATTATATGTAAGTCAAACCATGCCTTTGGAGTGAATAACCAATTACTTAACAGAATTTTATTCCCTCACTTGGCCAATGTGTGTAAGAATGCGTTTTGGATTGACTCCTCATACAGAATTATTCAACAGTGCAAGCCCTTTCCTTTTCTCAAAATGATATTGAAACTTGATTCTTTCCCTTTAGGATGTGTAGTTTCCATAGAAGAATGTAAATAATGAACTCTATGAATTATAAACCAATTTAAAGCTTTGTGAGTTTCAGGTCAAATCCAGTTACTATTCTAAACCCATAAGGAGATGGGGTAGGCAGATAATAGGTCCAAAGGCTATAAAAGCTTTAATAAGAGGAGTCCAGAGTGCTTATGAATGACTAAAGAAAGCAAGCATTTTATTCATGTAACAGAAAAACAGAAAAGAAAAAGTAAAGGGAGCAGAATACAAAATGGCTCATCAGCATAACTTTGGCTACAGTATTGTGTACACTAGTTGCTACTTAAGTTGTGATCACAGAACAATACCAGGAGTAGAATGAACTTTTGTGCCCTGCACAGGCATTTTGATAAATTACCTTCCAAGCACCTGATAAGAAAACTTTGTCCTTGTAGCCTTAGAGGTAATAGCCAGACCAGGAACTAAAAAGACAAGGAAAGAGCCCTGAGAGAATGGGGTCAGGTCCAGCTGAGGATGCAGAATGAGGTTAACAGCAGGATGCTCTGGAGATCTGTACCAGAAAAGATTTTTGTTGTTGAATATATTTATTAACCATTTATAAGATGAGGTGCATAAAGGAATGATATTATTCAATGACCCTAAATTTTCAGTCCAATAAGGACCACAGGGATTCCAGCAAGACTTAACAAAACTAGGTAATTGGACAATATGATGAAGGGGAAATTTGAAACAGGCAAGTGTGAGGTGATGCACATCTGAAAGAACAATTTAAGCTAATCATACACAGTGATGGATATTGAATTAGCCGTAACCTTCCAAGAAAAAGATCATGAGCTTTGCTCAATGTGCAACAGTACTAAAAATAAGTCACTGGAAGAGGAGTGAGAATAATGTGGAAAATATTAAGGTGCCATTATATAAATTGACAGCATATCCTTGTCTAGAATATTATGTTGAGTTTTTGTCACCTCATCATAAAAATGGAATGGAAGAAACATAAAAATGCACCGGAGGCTGGCTAAACTGATTAGAAATATAGGATAAGCTTCATTATGAAGGGAATATTTCATGCCACATTTAAAGACTTCCTGTTGAAAAATCTTACATAAAAGTGATATAAAAGACAGACATTTATGACTCTCAATAGCATCTGCAGTGTGCCCATTAAAGAGAAAATAAGCACTCACATTTTGCACTGTAGTTTCTAGACTTGAATGATCAAGACATTTTTATCCTCACATAGTTTCTTGAATCCACTGAAAGGAGTATAAGTTGGTGGCATCTTTTGAGAAAAAAAATAAGAATATCTCCTTGGAAAACCCCTTTTATCTGGGCCAGATTGGATGCTTATCTCTATTCCACTTTTATAGTGATAATTGGTGCTCATAATGATAATTCTAAATGGCTGCATAATTCTTAAAACACGTTCAAAATCAGAAAAAAACCCTAAACAAACAAACAAAAGTGCAAACACAAACAAGTTTTATTCAGTAACTGAATGAATAAAATCTGACCTATTTTCCTAAAACTTGGGCAATGATTGTTTGGGTCAGTATACTAGTTTACTAACCATAATATACACTCAACACATTCCATCTGGGCCACCAAAGATAAGTTATTATAGTTGTTTTCCAATCTGTATTTAGCCGGAGAACTCCCTCCAAGTTAACAAAGAATGAAATGAGATAAAGATAAAGCAACACGTGAAACTAAAAAAAAGAAAGGTCAGACACTGAGGCTCCTCTCTCATGTTGCCTGGGGCCTTGCAGGTGGGAGGGATGGTTTCTCTCTCCATTATTATCTTTCTAGGGACACACACAGCCCCTGACTGTTAGAATTTGCTATGAAGGAGGGACTGAGAAATAATGTGCAGGAAGAGCTCAAAAAGAGCTGAATTTACTCCTTGGTAGTGAGAGTAGCAATCAAGTTGGACTGAGTATTGACTTGAGAAACATTAGCGTCTGAGAAATCAGTTTCATGTTTGTCTACACTAGCTTGGCTCATGCTTTCTTTTCCTGGGAAGTCTGTTTATTTATATGACAAGTGACATCTTGGGAATGGGTTTTTCCTGAATGACATAGACCCTTTAGTGCTTCAAACAATAATCTCTCTATCTTCTCTCTCTCTCTCTCCATATATATATATAACAGTCCTTTCCGTAAACTAGTTGAAATGTATTTCAACATTTGTTTTTGTCTCTAAAACATCATCTGGGTTGTTCTCGTGGAAATAACAAAGACTAACCAAATGAGAACAAGCATAGGCCATTTATTCCAAGCTTGCTGTAGTAAGGGGGTCAGCCACTTGTGTCATGTGTGTTTTGGCAGAGACATAAAGGCAGGCAGGGGAGTTGGAAAGCTTTATAGTAGAAAAGAGGGAAGGCTTCAGCTGTGCTCTGATTGGAGGCTGTTGGCCTGTAGAAGCTGCAGGTGGGCTAGCTAGAAGTGGGGCATCCTAGGGGATTGGTTAGGGGCACATATTTGTCTTTCTCTGGTTGGTCTCAGTTGGAAGCAGGGACAAAAATTAGAGAAGCAGTCCGTAATTAATCAAGACCTGGATGTTTGGGGCTGACTGTTACAGGGGTTGTTTGGCTTCCTGGGTTGGTACTAGAGATGGCAGTCTGACTTCCTACTAGTCTGACTTGTAGGAGGCCGGCTATGGTGGGTAATGACTTGGTTTCCTGGACAAGTTGCTTGAGGTTGTGGGTCAGAATTCTACTTTTATATATGGTCTGGCTATTGTCCATTTGTATATTCAGTCTCTCACTTCCTAAGACAAAAAATAAAGCTTGCGTTTTGAGAGAACTGGACTTTAGAAAGCATCTGACCTTCATTTGTGAATAGCATTTTTAGTCTTCTAGCGCCTGAAATAAATCATTACCAAGATAGGAAAACCTTTGGAAGTCTCAGATTGTGGCTTGCTCGTGCTTTGGGCAAGAAGTGACTTGAGTACAGAATTTTCATTTAAATAAAGTAACTCTGAATTATAGAATACATAGTTGAAAATATGACTCTATTTGAGAAAAGAAAGAAAAAAGACTACCATGTGTTTAAAACTTCCTCTGTGCTTTCATTTTATTAATTAAGAGCATAAATTTTGAGTCAAGTCCCAGTGCGACTAAGGCTGTCTTGAAAGTTCCAGTAACTGTTTCAGGCCACCGGGGCACCATTTTGGAAACTGTTTCAGGAATCCTACTGATATTCTAACCATACAAAAGAGCTTACATAGCTTCTCAGGTGCCCTAGCTTCCTTTGAGGGAGACAGTGTGAACCAGGAAGACCTGCTTTTGCAATAAAGAACCTTTGATTGATGGATTATAGAATATTCAGTATCCTAGGTTGAATGGTATTAAGCAAGCAGAAAGAGCTAATTTTTTTTCTAGGTGCTAGTACTGACACTCAGCCACGTATAGTATACTAACACAATTAACTAAAATATACCGTTCCTGAAATGTGCTATAACCAAATGCACTATATTTTTCACATGATTTGCAATTTCCATAGAGAGCTCATTTGGATTACGTTTATAATATTCATTTAGCAAACTCCATTAGCAATGTTTACAAGTGCTTATGGATCCAGTAAATGAGTTTGCGGATGTGCCGTGAACGAAGCTAAATGCATCCATTTGTGTATGGGATCTAATTCATAAATGCATTCCAATCAGGTGGGGTGTAAAACAGATTAAACTCTAACCTGGGAGTCTGGATTCCTATATGGTTCCTACATGGTTTCCTAATGTGACTGAATTGATTAACCTTTTGGTTTCTTGATTTTCCCTAAAGGAGAAAACATTGAAAAACTGGATTAACAGGAGCAGCTGAGCGTAAGAATCCTTAAAGGCAAGGAAACAAACAACAATTATAAATAACCATACCAAATAGAGCGATGTTGATTCATTCTTTTCCTGGTTGAAGATTAGGTTTCCAGGGGAAAACTGTTTTCGCACACTCAGGTTCCTAGAATGCTAATCACATTAATGGGAATGTAACTTTCTGAATTATCCTAGTGACCTGAAAAGATTTCTGCATCTCGCAAAAGGGCCTAATCTAAAAACTACAAGTGTTCCTATTTGGAGTGGCTGATTCTTTGGGAAAATGTCTGGAGGCCTGTTAGAAAGGAGAACAAAGGTCCCTTGTTAGATCATTGATGATTTGCACAGACTGTGGATTTCCCAGTTCATGGGATCCAGATTTCTAGGTCACTGTTCATGCCAGGTCAAGACCGAGGTGGGGATGTCAGACCTGGGGAGATAGCGGGTCAGTGATACCCAGACCTGTATAGATCTCCCAGGATTAGGAAGAAAGCTTATAATAATAATAACTAATATTCATTGATATTTACGAAAGACTTTAAGCACTTTACATGTAACTCTAATCCTCACAACAATCCTATGAGGGTAGGGGTTATTATTATCATGTTTTTGGTGAGGAAGATTGGCCCTGAGCTAACATCTGTGCCAATCTTCCTCTATTTTATGTATGTGGGGACGCCGCCACAGCATGGCTTGATGAGCAGTATGTTCGTCTGTGCCTGGGATCCGAACCCATGAACCCCAGGCTGCTGAAGGGGAGCATGCGAAGTTAACCACTATGCCACTGGGCTTGCCCCAAGGATTAGCTTCTATCTCATTTTACAAATGAGGAAACTGAAGCTTAGAGAAGTTAAGTAATGTGTCCTAAGGTCACACAGCTACAAAGCAGCAGTACCAGAATTTGAACTCAGGCTCTCTAACTCCAGACCCCCAGTTCTTTACAACTGTATGGCAGATAACTTATGTTTTCCTTAGAACTTACAGTGAGGCACAAAACTGGCTGAAATGGAGGAATCAGCAATCTCTGCCAAGGTTATGTAGTTGTTCTTTTGGAGTAGAAGTTCTAATTTTGGCTTACTGAAGACATAGGGTATAATTCCTCATCTTGATCTAATTAATATCCAGGGACCAGAAATTCAAGTCATCTTTGATATAAGAAACTTATCAAACAGTGCCATCCAATGAGGATATTTTCTTGTCTACTTTCAAAATTGAGTTGGGAGTTTCAGTTATTATTTAAAATTTTTTTCACAAATATAGTTTTTTTTCATAGAACACAGATGCTCTTAACTCCCTAGCAGTCACCATCTGTACCTCAATTTACATTTCCCAAAACACTGCTGACATCTGTTTAAATGCCAATCTCTCCCCAACTTAGTAGGATTTTAGCTCAAAAGTGATATCCTTTGAATGATTTGAAATTTCAAAGTTAAAGTGATTTTAATCAAAATGCTCAATGGCTACAGGTATCCAGGCTGTATCTGTCCCTTTGAGAAGGTTTCCACAAAATGGAGGCTAATATTAATAGTGATCTGTCATTTCCAGGGGAATGTGGGACCATTTTGCCAGGTTAGACTTTTCATCAATGGGAAAAGGAAGGGAGAGGTTCTGAGTTGTCAGGGAGAGAATTCTGGGTGATTAGGAGTTCTCCCAAAGAATCATTGCCCTAGATTCCTTTCTGTAGGTTGATGCTCCTTTTATACAGAGATGTCTGACTTTCTTCAGCAAATCATTATGTGAGAGGAGGCATAGAACATACGTCTGGGGATAGACTCAGCGTGGAAATGGGGCTGAAGGCTGGTTGAACAGTGGGACTGAGAGAGAAGCATGAGTTGTGGGAAACTGATTTTTTTTTTTAAAGAACATATAGAAATTATGCCCCTAAATGAGTGATGCTCCTTCCTAATGGGCACCTGGGGAAACTATAAACTTAATCTAATGGTTCCATAATTATTCAAAACATTCAAGTAGTTACTTTGAAGTCAAGGGCACATTTGTTTTGGAAATTCTCAATGATGTTAAATCTTTATTTGAGAGAAAATTCGATTTTTGGACAAATCCAAAAGTCATCTGGAATGTAGTTTTGTTATAAAGTGGGTTTTGGGGGGCAATTTTTCCTAAGTGGTTCACAAAGGGATTCCAAGAAGGCAGTTTCATAAGATGATTTTAGAGAAATCGTAAACAATGGAAGCATCAGGAGACTAGGTATGTAATCCCTTGAGAAGAATTCTTCATTTGGAAGTATAAATTTGGTCTTGTTTGTGTTTTGGAATCAGACAGATCTGGGCTTTGGATCTGACTTCATATATATTTCAAGATATGTGACCTGAGTTACTTAACCATGTTAAGCCTCAGTTAGTTTTGTCTCCTGTGAAATAGAGATAATTATAGTATCTACCTCCTGGCCTTGTGGGGATTAAAGAGGGCAATGTATGTAAAGTGCTTTGCCCAGCACCTGGCATATAATATAGAAGGCACTCAATAAAGTGGTTGATATATGGATTCTAATCTCCTAGGATGCAGTGTGATGTATCAGAAGGACTTGGAGCCATGTTCTACCACTTATTTGGCTATAATGGTCCTAAGAAAGCCATTAATTTGTAGGGTCCTACTTCCTTCTTTGCAAAGTGAGTATAATAACACTTCTCTTACCAGATTACCATGAATATTAGAGATAATATACATAAAGAACTTAGAGCAATGATTATGATTATTGTGGAAAGGAATCTTAGAATAATAACTTTTTAATGGAGTTCAGATTGTTCTACAGAGATGATAATGAGTTTAATGTGGTACTAATGCTTGTATTTTAAAACTTACAAAATTCCAAATTATAACTTGGGAATTTTTCAGGATGGCAAATATCTCTGGGTGTGGCTCCATCACGCCTGAATTTATTGGTTTGTAGATTGTGGACCTAAAATATCATGGGTTAGTTTGTCCCATTTGTATCTTCAAATGGATCTCATAGGACTCCTAGTCTTATAGACATAAGACGTTCCTTAACTATAGAGCCCAGTGGAGCATTGTTTCCATGGTTAGAAGTTTTTCCTTATCTACAGACCAAGATCGTAGAGGGTAGTTTCAGTAGCATTCAGTCTTAAATATTTAAATGCATCTTTAAAAATGCAAATAAAAATTTTAATATAGACAAAGCATTACTCTCTTCTCCATTTTCAGCATTAAATTTCCCCCAAGAAGTCCTCAAGAAATTCTGATAATAAAAGAAAATCAGACCCTGTAGCAACATCTCTCTTTCAAGAGGAGAGAATATATTTTCTTTTCATTTTGTTTGGCAAAAAAGTCTCAGTTAAAATGAGATGTCTGACTCATTTCTACAGCCAAATATTTCTGAAATAAAAGTTTGGAGTTACAAAAATAAAAAAAAATCAAAATCCAGTTCAATTCTAAAATAGGCTTAAAACTTGCTGATTTAAATCAAACCAAAATGTTTAGGAAGAAAATTGTAGTTAAATAAGTAGTTTTCAAGAAAATTTGAAGGAGTGGAATCTTTTCTTCAAATTGAGTCTTGCAGAGAATTCTCAAAAGAGACACGGATAAAAGCAAGGCTCCTCTAGGGAGAGAATGAAGACGGAGGCCCTTCCTTCGCCCTTCTCACTTCTTCCTTCCCTCTTCCATCCCCCATGATCAACGCCAGCCTCCCAGAACCCTCGGACCCTCCAGACACATAGTTGGGGATCCACTGGTCTAGCTGTTCCTTTGATTTCATCTACTGAGCCTGTTAAAAAAAAAAAAAAAAAAGAAGAAGAAGCAGCAAAGAAATGAACAAGGCAGTCTTCTGTGAATAGAGCATTAATCCTGTCAACTGGAGGAGGCAGGAGACAGACATGTTTATCCCTGACAGCTCAGGTCTCTCTGCTCTGCCCAGTGCTGGGGAGCAGGGATTCTGAATATAGAGAGGTCTGCCTGCAAGTTTGATTTCTGTTGGTGGTGAGGTTTCTCCTGGTTGACTTGGCAGCTTTTCTCTAATCACTTGCAAATCAAGAAGACAGGTTCTCCAGTCTTAGAAAGTAGCTCTACTGATGTTTGCTAACATTGGCCATGTTGGTACTTTCGTTTGTCAAAGAACAATGTCAAAGCAGGGGTGGGGTGGGAAATGCTGTTAGAAAGGACAGACTCTGTGCAGTGCGTCACATCTGCTTAGGAAAGGTTATTTTGCTCTTGATAAACTGCCCTCAGTGAGGCAGGGGATGGGGAAATGTCACCACGGCACAGCCTCTGCCTCACGTCCTGTAAAATGTCGATGTTGCTTGTGCAGAGCTTACCTCTGGCGTCCTTTAATTGACATCTGGGTTTTAGAATCCAACTGCCAGAAATCATCCCACTCAAGGAGTAAAACTGGAAGTGCTGCGCAGCGTGATGACCCCAGACCCCAAGGTAGAAGGAAATGGCTTGGTACTGATGCTCCAAACTGGCCTGAGTGCAGAGGACCTGACTGACACAGGGAGGGAACTGCAGAGGAGCTGCTGAATGTAAATAAGGAGCAGGGCTGCGGGGCCTTCACTTTCTGGCCCTGTGCAAGTGAAAGTAGCCAAGTTAAAACCTAGATTTATGTGCTAGCCCTCCAAGGAGGCACGACAAGAGAGAACACCACAGCAGATTTCTACAATTCCGGTCCCCACGGTTTAAGAGGAAGGTGGCCATGGCTCCACTTTCCTTGAGCTGTGTGTCTTTGGGCAAATTACTTAACCTCTCTGATGAAACCTTGGCTCCCTCAGCTGTAAAGTAAATTCCAGTGTTTCTCAAACTGTCTGTGCAGAGGAACTAGATTTCTTTTTTTAAATCTCCAGGCAGTCTCTAGACTGAGACTTTTGTATAATACAACAAAATTGAATTCATAGAAATACTTAAATTCAACAGATATAAAATTACTCTGTCAAATTGCTTTTAAAGTTTCTAAACACTGACTCTCAATTGCTGCATTATTTTATTGCAGACCAGTAACAATTTGTGGACTGACCCCAGTATGTGGACTCAATTTTCAGTATCATCGGTACAGACACTAATGGTGCTCACCTTACATAGGAGTGTTATGAGGCTAAATGGAATAATACATATATTTGACAACCATTGTCGTAATTTTTATATTTCCTGTAGGTTTAGCCCTTGGGAAGGCATTTTACCACCAATAAATCCCTACCTTTGTAAAACCCTAACAACACAGAGGTTTTAGAGAGTATAAGGAGAGAGAAGGAACGGTTTAAATCAACCTCTCGAGAGACTGAGGAATGAACGGTGGAGACCAGGTGAGGGTTCAACTTTTGAGAGTCAAGCCATAGGCCAAGTATATGTCTTGGGACTGCTACTTTAAAAGTGTGAGCTGAACACATCCCACCCAGGCCCCCAGTTTGGGGGGAGAGCGTCTTATCTGCAGCACAGTCCATCCGCGTGATGCTCGCGTGATTCCGAGGGTCCCGGATTTCACTGCCCTCGCTGGAGCCACTGGGGAGCGAGCAGCGCCGTGTTCAGCACCTGGGCCTGGAGGCACAGGGACTCAGCTTTGACGGTCTCCTTATGGCCGGTGCGACCGTAGATGAGGTTCTGCTTGCTCTCCAAGCTCACATTTTCCCCTGTGTAAAGCTAATAATAGTGCCTGCTTTTCTTAGTGCTGCTGAAAGGATTAAGTGAAATAATTCCCACAAGTCTTCAGTAATTTTTCAATGAATAAGGATAGTTAGAAGGCCAGAGGGAGCAGCTCCATTTTGGCCAAGCTGCGCCAGCGCACGGCCAGATTTCACCTGGCATGACGGAGTGGAGGGGTTGATGGCGGCAGCACAGCCCCTATCAGACACAGTAGAAGAAAAGAACCCCAAACCTCAGTACACCACTTTTAAAAGGTTTCTGACCCTTAAATGATGACTTTCCCTGTAGCTATCTAACACTCTTTCTCCTTCCCTTCACCCCAGCTGTGAGAGAGATGGTTCTAACATGGAAAAATGAATCAAAGTCTTGAATACATCATCCAAGGTGAGGAAACCTGCAGGGGTTGAACAGGAGTCTGGGGAAGCAGGAGCCCCCTTTTTTTCCTGTCTACACAACGTGCAGAGAATATCCGTGATTAAAATTCTTAACACGATTTCAAAGCATCACCTTCCTAGGTAGATGATACACAAGGGCAGGCACAGAGATTGCGGGAAGATCTGACTTGAGTGGCTCGTTTGTGAGAGCTCAAGTAACCCTCCGTAATGAATTTGCTATTTACTGATACAGCAGTGCCTTCGTTTGGCATTAATGGGCAGGGCCAATGGATAGTCATAGTTATTTAAATTCAAGCTTTGGTACCAGGCCACTAGAATTGCTGCAGAAGGAAAGTGATATGCAATTTCAAAGGTACTTACTGCCATACCATCTAGTAGCTGAAAAACAGAAAGAAGACATGAAAAATAGGATGAAACTACAAATGCTAAATAATGATGATAATGATGATGCTACTAATAATACACTTTATTTGGAAGGCATAGTGAAGGGAGACTTCCTGAAAAGTATTAGCCCACAAGGGGTGAACTTAAGCTGCAAGATGGCCCAACGTGGCTCGCAAATACTTCTACCAATTTATATAATTATGGGAGGAATTTCATTGGGTGTAATTTTTAACTAAGCTTCAACCTTCACCCTACCCTCATTCCAAAACTCCCTCTTTAGTTATTTCTGGAGCCCTCAGGCCAGGCGGTGTCTCATGCGTAATCTAGAATGAGCCACTTCATGTTGTGGTGTCCTCGTCAAAGGACCTTGACATTGCCTCTGTCCTGATGGCCTCTATAAGAATGCTGCCCTGAAATCAAAACTACAATGAGATATCACCTTACACCTGTTAGAATGGCTATAATCAGCAAGACGAAAAACAACAAATATTGGGGAGGATGTAGAGGAAAGGGAACCCTCATACACTGCTGGTGGGATTGGAAACTGGTACAGACATTATGGAAAACAGTATGGAGATTTCTTAAAATATTAAAAATGGAAATACCATATGACCCAGCTATTCCACTACTAGATATTTATCCAAAGAACTTGAAGTCAACAATTCAGAGACTTGTGCGCCCCTACGTTCACTGTAGTGTGTTCACAATAGCCAAGACACGGAAGCAACCCAAGTGCCCATAGACTGATGAATGGATAAAGAAGATGTGGGATATACATATATAATGGAATACTACTCAGCTATAGAAAACACAAAATCATCCCATTTGCATCATTGTGTATGGAACTTGAGGGTATTATGTTAAGTGAGATAAGCCAGACAGGCAAAGACAAACAGTGTATGAGTTCACTCATATGTGGAAGATAAACACATGGACAAAGAGAATAGATTAGTGGTTAACAGAGGAGAAGAGGGGTGGGGGGTTGGCATAAGGGGTAAAGAGGCATATATATATGGTGACTGACAAATAATAATATACAACTGTAACTTCATAATATTATAAGCTATTATGAAATCGATGATAATAATAAAAAAAGAAGGCTGCCCTGCTGGAACAACTCCCCTTCCCCTGGGGGCTGTCTTAACCATGCAGGCTATGATCTGTGGCAGAGCTGGCATAGTAGTTTTCTGCCACACAGTCTTTCATACGTATAGATCTCCCTGCTTCTTACATTAACCTCTGTCTTATAGGAGCTCAAAATTAGGCCGTCAGACTGGGCTTTGTGTGTATCTGGCAGGGAGGCAGGTGAAGATAGAGCCCATGCCATTCCCTGCATCGATCTCCTCTGACTCCTCTCAGGTACCCTCTAGAAAGCCCCTGTGAATATTACTCATGCCGATAAACATTGACAAAGTGGAGAGGATCACCCAGCTCCATTTACCAAAAGCGTCGGGATGCTGGCTCCAGTCCAGAGAAGAGCACCCCCAGGATGAAAACCAATGAAGTCATACCTATCATTTATACCTTCACATGAATGAGTTTCTAAGATATTTTTCTAGGAGCACACATGGATAGGAGAGGAGCTGGAAAACACGGGTTACCTGAGACAGAAAGGATTGGGGTGGAGGGGCAAAATGTTGAGAGTATTAAAACCAGTTTTGATGACTTCACAGTTGTATTCTAAGATGGCCCTGTGCACTCTCACTATTAGAAGAATTTAAGACAAGCCAGAAATGAGGTGGGTAACCGTAGCTAAAGTAGACCAAATACTGAAAAGAAAATTAAATTCAAATATTTTCACGTGTCAGCCACTGTTCGTGTTCTGATTCAGTGGTTGGCATTTCTAACATAGGATCTGAATCAAGAGCTTCTAACAGGAGAAAATTAAACACAGCTTTATAACATGTGTACATGGGAGAGGCTCAGGCAACCTGAGCAACTCGCCAAAATGGCTGAAGCCACCACCTTAAATATCATCTGCTAAAGGCGAAGGAGGATGTTGGGGGTGGGGGAAGTCGATCATGGGAGATTACCACACAAGTACAGTAAACAAGAGTCAGGTTGTTATGCAGACTTGAGTCCTTGCCTTCCACATTGATAAGAGTTTCTACAGATAAGGTACAGAGAGGGAGACACCTTTACAGATGGAGATTTCCTTTACAATGTAAATGTCGCTTAACAAAGGGTAAGTAAATTCTGCTTTTCAGAGCTTCTTTCCTGTCTGCAGTTTTTAAAAGTAACCAGCCCAAGATAATCCTCAGGCCAAAGAGACATATCTTGGGGTGGCCAATTCCAGTCCCCCACACCTCCTTTGAAAAATTGAGATGGAAATCCCTAGTCAGAGACTGATTACCACTCATTTGCTGATTATGAGCAGTATCCTCTCAAAGAAAAGTAATGCATTTCCATGTTTCATGCTACAGGTCTTGTCTGAAGGTATGTTTCAGAGAGGGGTGCAAAGGATTCCTATAATTTTGACTCTGACGAGAATGCTGTGGTCATTCTCTGAAGTCTCTTTCTCTGAGTTCCAGTTTGCTTCTGCTCTAGCCTTGGCCTTTGTAGGGGATGGTGAGGAGGACGGACGTGGGGACCAGGAAGGACTTCTTCAAGCCTGGCACGTGCCTCAGTCAGAGTTGCTGGGCCTAACTCTGGACCATTTCCTCTGAAATGAATCCAGGGAAGTAGTCCGGACAGTTGGAGACATAAGTACAGTCAGGGCAAGTGTTCCTACCTTTGTCATTACCAAGGCACTTTTAGAAATTTGTTTCCTACTCTCAGAGATTTGACACTTTAACAATTTTATTTACCAAATAGTATTTATCAAGTAATAATTGCTTTGTTTTTCTTTATTAAGATAAACTGGGGATAACTGCCAATCAGAGTTTTTGATTGACATATGATAACCGTGTTATTGATTTGATCTAATGCCATAAAAATTAAACAAATGAAAATGAAAGAAAACCTGGTATATATATTTATGTTTATTTTAGTTATATGTGTGTTTTCCATTAGGCTTTCAAAATATTAAATATAATTCACAGATGCCTGTTACTGCCTTTCCTCAATCTTTAAAGAATGCCAAAATTTAGATGTGCAGGGTGGAAAAGCTGCCTGGGGACCGCCAGGGGTGAGGATATATGGAGAGCCCATCATGCCTTTGGAGATTCTTCTTGAGGGGCTTTTGGACTTCAGCCCACATCTCAGGGTGAATGACAGGGAATACACCTACTCCTTGGGTATATTCTAGTTCAAAAGCTCTGTCCAGAGATCCAAAGGCTGTTTTCAAGCCACCAACAACATTGGTTGTTTATCTGACTCTCCAACTATCCCATTTCACTTAAGTTTCCAGCCTTGACACCACAGAGAGGCTATTGGATTAAAGCGGTTCTACCCAACGTTAGTGAGGTGCGTAGACAAATTCAGCCTGCGTGACAACTTCAAGACAAGTCCTTATTCATCTATCTCTTGAAATATACCATTTAGTGAAATGTAGGGGCCTAAGGAAATATGTGTTGGAACATGGGTGGCACTTGAGCCACTTCCATAGGCACCTGGTATAAGTCCTCATCTTCACTCGCCAAGTAGAAGAGTGAAGATAAAATGAATGAGCTCAGCCATTTGCGTTCATGAAGGAGATGTCTGTTAAGATATGTGTCTTACAAACAGCTTTGACGCATTTATCTGCTAGTAAGTACTTACAGAATCTTATGTCGTCTTTAAAGTGGTGACGGAAGCGGAGTTTACAAATTGGGGAAGTCACTTAGATTACAATATTTGTAAGAGGAAAGTAGAACCCTGGATCCATTAAATTACTGACCCTTTGTAGTTAATTAATGCACATAAGAGACTTCCCATACGAATGGTTCCTTTAAAATGTGTATATAATGGGCAAATACACATAGAAGACTTTTTTTAAGTGATTGTGGCTCAACTGCCTTTTTAAACCAAACATACATTTGATTGTTTTTAAATATTGATGCCTTTGCTGTTGTTACAAAACACTGAGTAGAAGTTCACACAATGAGGGCGACATGTGAACGTGTCAAGCTAATGTCAAAACAACAGCCTTGAGCAGCATTGCAGTCTGACAGGTTTCCGAATGGAGTGACTGCTGACTGGACTACTCCGAGGCTGAATTAGGTCTCTCCTTGTAAGGACTTTGCTATTTTCTTGGGTGTCTGCAGCCTGGAGTTGTGTCAGACTTCACTGATTACATCCCTGTATAGAGAGGGAGGGCATGAACTTTGCCAAAGGGAGGGATGAATATGTATGGTGTTTTTCTTTGGATCAGGCTCACTGCGACCTCTGCTGAGAGCGATTGTGTGACCGTATGCTTGACTTTCTTAGCATGAGGCCTGCCAATAAAGCATCTAGGTTCCCCCCTTGTATAAGGATAATCAACCGACCAGTGCTGAACTTTTTAGTGCCTGGAAAGCACTTCTTTTACTGTAGGGTCGCTGAAAATGCTCTTTCCTTTGCCTGGAATAGTTTTGGCTCCCCCAAAACCGGTGTAAAACTGGTCTTGTCTGACATCTACCCACAATGTAAATCTTGGCTTAAATGTCATTTCCCTAAGACACCTTCACTAGAAATATATCACGCAAGGGAAAGAAATCTGAAGTTCAGAATTTTAAGTTAAGATTCATTTCCCTAGACACCCTGATGAACTTAGGAAGACCCCCTTGATACATGCCCCATACAGCACCCTTCATTTCCCCATTGTGTTAATCAGAGTTCTCCAGAGAAATGGGACCAACAGGATGTATGTGTGTGTGTGTGTGTGTGTGTGTGTGTGTGTGTAGTGAGAGAGAGAGACAGAAATTTAAGGGAATTGGCTCACAGGATTATGGAGGCTTGGAGAGTCCAAAATCTGATGAGGTGGGCTGGCAGGCTGGAGACCCAGGGAAGAACCAGTGTTGCAGGTCAAGTTCAAAGGCCATATGCTGGCAGAATTCCTCCTTGTTTGGAGGAGGTCAATCTTTGTTCTATTAAGGCCTCCATCTGATTGGATGAGGCCCATGTAAATTACGGAAGGTAATCTGATTTGCTGAAAGTCCGCCAATGTAAATGTTAATCTCATCTAAAGCATACCTCACAGAAACATCCTAAATAATATTTGATCAAATATCTGTATACTGCGGTCCAGCCAAGATGACATATAAAATGAACTGTCACACTCGTGTAACACTATCATGTCTGTTAATGTTTACATATGTGAATGTTTACAGTCCTCACTAAGCAGGAGGACACAGACCATGTTTGTTATGTTTTTGATATGTTCCTAGAACTCGGCACATGGCCAAACACAAAGTAGATACTCACTGAATAGTAAATTAAGTCATTATTGATTCAACACATACTTATTAATTACCTATCACGTGCTGAGTACTGCTATAGTTGCCAAGGACAAGCAGTGAACAAGACAGACAAAATCTCTGCCCTCTTGGAGCTTCCATTCATGTAGGAAAACCTAAAATTTGTGATCTGAT